AGGGAAGTCTGGGGTTATCTTTTGAGACTGCTGCCCTGTGAGAATGGCCCGGATAAGTGGAATGAAATGAAATGAAATAAAATTTCATAACAATTTCATTAATATTTTTCTTGAATTTCTCTTGAATCGTGATACAAATATAAGGGCCTCATGACAATCATGTTTAGGACAGATTTCTGACAAGTTTTATTGTCTTCATGATGTCATGACAAAGGTTTTGTTGTCTTGCTAATGTCAAGTTGTCAAGTTCACACTTAGCTGATGATTGATTATAAAGTATGTTTGACATGCTGTCCCTGGAGAGAGCCCTGAGCTCATAAGATCCTCGAGCCTGGGACTCCCTCTCGTTTGCAGGGCGAGAGGGGAGTTTGAGCTCAGGTAGATCTCGAGAACTCCCCTACTTATTTTTGGCTAATGACAGATTAGAGTTTGCTATGGAGAGATATACAGACATCATCTATGGTGCCAATTGGGTTTGGTCAATTCACGTATGTTGTATGTCTTTGGGTAATGGGAAGAAATCGGAAGGGCCCAGGGGAAACCCACTTGAGCATGGGGAGAACATGTAAACTTTGCACAGAAACGTCAACTAGCCTGGTAAAGACTTGAACCATTGACATTGTTGCTATGATGCAACAGTGCTAACCACTGGGCAGCCGTGCCATTCTATCTAGGAAAAAGGAGGAGGAGTAGGGGTGGAAGGGGGATTCTTCAAGATGGAGATAACTAAGGTGAGAAACTCTGGTTATTTATAGCGACTAGGGCTACTCGATTATGGGAAAGTCATAATCACGATTATTTTGGTCATAATTGTAATCACGACTATTCAAAACGATTATCAGTTAAAGTCAAAATTATTCGTCCTTCTGTGAATTTTTTTATATATAAATATTTCCCAAATGATATTTAACAGAGGTTTTTTTTTATTTTTTTTACAGTATTTCCTATAATATTTTTTTTCTTCTGGAGAAAGGCTTGTTTTATTTCAGCTAGAATAAAAGCAGGTTTGAATATTTTGAAACCTATTTTAATAGCTCGATATTATTAGCCCCTTTATATATGTTAGATTATCTGCAGAAGAAACTACTGTTAAACAATGACTTGTCTATTTACCCTAATTAAGCCTGTGAATGTCACTTTAAGCTGAATACTAATATCTTGAAAAACATCTAGTAAAATATAATGTACTGTCATCATAGCAAAGATAAAAGAAATCGGTAATTAGAAGTGAGTTTTTAAATGTTTAAACTGTGCTTTAAGCATCTTCACTGTATTTTTGATTTTTAGTAATTTAGTAATTTACTCATTTTTATTTTAGCATTGATTAATAATAAAAACAGTCGGCAGTAGCAAGAATATTGCACACTGTCATTTTTTGTGACAGGTTTCTCTTTCTCATGTCTTTTGATTCTCAACTTGTTAGTTTATTACACAAATGAGGGTTAATATGAATAATCACTAAACACTGCGCTCTGACACAAATGTGCTTGTATTTAAGCATTAAAGCGCTCACATTAAGATCGCGCTAAATGTGTGTGTGCTCTTCTGTCTGAGGCTAAGCGCGGCGCGCGCGCAAACACACACACACTACCTGTACGTGGCTAAGCAAGGGCAAGTGCTCTTTTGCGCTTTTAAAAATATGAATGATGCGCATCCCGTGCTGCAAAAGTTACATTACAGCACATGCTTTTAGTCATTTTCACGTGGAACTGAGCTTTGCAGAGGCAAAGAGTTTTCACACGTGTACAACTGGAAAGGAGGCGGTACGTGATGGAATAATAATTTATCTCGATTAATGGTTTTTCTTAATCGTTAAAAGCCAAAATCAAAATCGGATTTTCGATTAATTGCACAGCCCTAATAGCGATATAGGAATCATCTGATTGGTGAATCAAGTGTTAGCTAATGCGGGACCAGCTGTGGACAATCATGGGCATGTGATCCTCTCAAATTTAGTTTATAAATAAACTTCACTTAAAATGGCAAGTGAGCGAATGCCACTTATGCCAAGTTTAGACTGCAAGATTTTAGCCCTGATTTTGACTCGCCAACAAGTTTTGAGAAATCACAGACAAATGTCTAAAATTATGGGCAAATCTGTGCTCGTTCACATAAGTAACAATCACACAGTCACTACGTGACCCTGCTTTGTTTTCATGTCACCTCTCGCGTGTGTTTAGTTGTGAGATGTAGTTTGTGGACTAAGACAAAGTTGTCTGCGATTCTTCCTTTTGTAAAGTCTTGCAGTGTGAAACCTTCTGTCACAGATACATCTTGCAGTGTAAACACAGTAGCAATGAAACCTTACCCCACATAGTCATGCAGTGTGAAAACATCTGTGATACGACTATTTTGAAATCCTGTAGTCTGAACAGCATTAATGACAGTGGTCATAAGCATAAAATCTCATGTCTGTCATGATTATAAAGGTTCGAACACCCTTCAAGTAAAGCATGACCAATGATACTTACACAATTAAGTTTCTCTTTCAGATTTTAAGGCAAAACAAGCAAACACAAAGATAAACAATGATTTCTGCATGGCGTCCACATACTTTCGTCATGTAGTGTTTATCACGGAGAAAATCAAGTACAACTCAGACATGAACAGCAGAAGCAGAGTGCGACAGCGGAGTGAAAGTGCTGTTTCTTGACCAGCTCTGTTTTATACCACATGACGAGCAAAATCAATAAAGAGGACAAGAAATGATGATCCTTGGGTCAGCACTCTGAGAAACTGAGCCGGCATCAATTGTTTTAATGAACAGCTTGGTCAAAGCAGTGAGCAGTATCTCATCCCCTTCCCTCCTTTCCATTCTATACATCAGTCTCTCATCCTTGTGCTGTATAGAGTTCTCCCTGCACATATCGAGAGTATTTTATTTTTTCCCCAGGCGAAAAACTGTGAGTGCTGGTCAAACATTCCCAGAGTGCTGCATTAGAAGATAAAGGCTGTCCAGGCAGAGCTGCCAAATGATGTCAGGATCCCAAGCTGATAAGAACATTCGTTACATACAGTATCGGTGAAGAAGAGTGTTTTTGATACATAAAAATACAATAAAAAAACACTGATAAGCACAGTGGACATCTCAAAGCAGTAGGGACGCATTAAGAGTGCTGCATTGTGTGCCGTTTTCTAGGATGCTACAACCTTTAGCTACAGTGGATGATCAAATTTACCTACTGATCTGACAACAGAATTTGGATAGCTGACTACAGAGTGTCAGTGTTTTAAATAAGCAAATAAGGCATAAAAATGAAGGTTGCTTTGCACAGTCAGTGTACGCTACACTTCATACAGGCACAAATTTGAGATCCGAAATCTGTCTTTTGCTGACAGAAGACCTACATAACGAATTCTGCTTTCTTTACATGGCACGTAACGACAGAATATCAGTTTATATTATACACTCTCAGATCAAGGAACACCTGGATTTGACTAAATTTGTTTAATAAATAAATCAAAAATGAATTCCTTGACAATGTATTTGGTCGTTCAATGAATGTTTTCAATGTCACATGTTCCTAAACTGATGTGTGTGTATTGAAAGCAATGCAATCTCATGGCAGTTTGTAACTTTTTGATCAAGTGGCTAATTTGTACAGTCTTGTTTATGGAGTTTGAGGTCATGCCTTTGTGGCGAGGGGGTGGGGCTGAAAACAGAATGAGGAGACGTGGGGCTTACCACCATAGACAAAAGCCCAATTCTAATTCTTTTTTGTACCCCTACCCCTTCCCCTTGGCCCTTAAAACTGAGTGGGAAGAGGAAGGGCTTCAAAATTTACCCCTAAGAATTGGGAACTGGGACACTACAGCACCTGCACACGTAATCATATGTCATTGCGATATCATGCTTCATATAAGATCGACGATGGCGACTGCTGTAGTTATTCCGGTTGTGTTATTATTTTGGTATTTATCTTCAAGAAATCACTGAAGGCATATATTAAGTTATCATAATGATATATTGTGGCAATAAGATTGTGGTATAATCATTCATACACAATTGTGTAGTGTAAATCAGTGGTTCTCAACTGGTTTGACCATGGGACCCACATTTTTACATGGTCATCAAGCCGCGACCCAAAATTTTAGAAACTATAATATAATTTTAGGAATTATAATTAATTTGTATTTATTTGTTAACCTACATATCTAGTGAAAGATAAATGATAAGAAAATCACCAAGACTTACAAATAAACTATATTTTACTGCTCTCATTTAATAAAATGTATCAAATTATAGAAATATTACAGAGTAAAAACGACAAATACTGTAAACAGTGGTTAGGGAAAGGAAAAGTTTAGTTACCATTAACTAAACTGAACTGTTTATAAAACATTAACACTGATCTGGTTGAACTGAACAGAAACCAGCAAATTAAAGTAAAATTATTAAAATCATCATAACCATTTTTATAATAATCACCAGTTGCTCTTCTGTTTTTGTGTGGGCTTTCTTGGCCTGTGCCTGTACTTGTTTTGAACAATGCTCTTTTGTAATGCTCTCAGCTATGGGAGTCTTCTTTGAAAATCATCCACAGGTTTGTTGTTGCAACTGGGATGTTTGGTTTCTAAATGTCATTTTTATTTAGAAGGTTTCATGCTCTCTTGTGAGAGCACCTCACTACATATGACACACTGAGGTTTTAAGCCTTTTTCGTCGTCAATATATGTAAATCCACACTTTACATATTCGGGGTCGTACTTGCGCTGAAATTTCATGTCAAACGGTACAGTTGTCGCACGTGCATTTCAAAATAAAAGTCGGATATAAGCAAAATAAGTTTAAAATTAAAATGTGTTGTTTTTTTTGATCACACATCCCGCGACCCACTGAAAATGTTCCCACGACCCACCAGTTAAGAAACACTGTTGTAAATAGTACAAGTATGAGATTTGGGATGCACATGATGTTTTAATAGCACATCTAATATAGATTTTGGGAGGAAAGCAGTATTTAGTTTTTAAATTTAGTTCTGTTAATTTATTTATTAAAATTTTGTCCAGCTATTTATGTGCACATCCGTTTCAGTGTAGCTATTTTTATCACCAGTACTAGGTACTATGATGATATAATTTATTCCGTTCTATTTCCACAGAGCGCATTTTTGCCTTCCACTGCACTGCTTTTACATTGTTTTATTCTATTGTAATTTATTTTAGACGCAGAATGCCCTATAAGCCATTTTAGACCAAGTTATATAAACAGAAAAATAATCGAAATGCCGAAATATACTTTTTTACAATTTGGAATATCAGCCAGCCCTAATGTGAATACATTTGAAGTGATAAAAGATTGAACAAGTTTGTAATGTGTTTTCGTTGATGTGCCCCTGAAAAAATGTTTAACTACTTGACTTTCCAGGTGAGAACAAAATAAGAACATGCAACAATCGACATCAGTTTCGATAAATGTGGTTAGATGTTTCCTTATGGTGTAGGGTAGTTACTTTCCTCAGAAAACTGCAGTTTGAAATCACAAATCGGAATGATTTGTTTGCCACTGCACAGCAAGTTTGTGTTTACATTGTGATGAAGTGGGAACTAGCCAACAGGGTGGTAGCGCTAGGGAATTTTCGGAAAGAATGGGAGTCTGGGTCACGACAGCTGCCACTCCGGACTGAAAAATTTGATGGGGTGCGTCTTAGCCCACTTTGCAAAAACTGCCTTTTCAGTGATAAAGCGATGGCCGCCGTAAGGAGCACTCTCATGGAGGAGGTATTCTGCACATTCGTCACGGCTCCCTGCTTCATAGTAGTGGTATGGCACCTTCTTGTAGCCTTCTGATCTAAAAGAAGAAAGAAAAAAAAACGTATTCTGTAATTTCACTGAATCATTCAAGCTTCCGTAGTACAATTTTTAAAAGAAACACTGGATAAACTTTTTTTTGTAAGCTGAATATTGGTTTATTTGTTTATTGTTTTCACGTATTTGTTGGAGGCTTCTTTTGTACCAAATCATAATTACAATCACATGTTGATATTACCTGTTTTGAATCACATCATTATTTAACCAACATACCTGATTACTAGCCCTAAATAGCCTGTCCTAATGTTTTTTGGAATGTGTTGCAGGTCTGAATGACAGAAAAGGATGTGTATTAACAAATGAAATGAAGTTGACCAGACAAAAATTGAAATATTTTGTGTTCATATAGTCTGCAATAAAATACAAGTCAGAGTAAATTTGGAAATCCCTACTTTCTTTTTTTATTTGCGTTTTACAGTCTGTCCTAACTTTTTCTAATTTTCCCCTTACATATCACCCAACCCTACTTTTACATATGTAGACTTTTACTTCATTTTACAATGTGTAATCTACAGTTTACTAAAATATACTAAAAGCATATTTTTTATGACCCATTTCCAAATTTTATTTCCACTTTCAAAAGTTCTGAGCACAAAAAAAACAACAACATTGACTAGAACTACCTGTCCATTTCAACGTAAATAATGCTTACTCTTCAGCCAATCATATTAAGAATTTCAAAAGAATTTATAATAAATAATGCACAATAAAGTCTATGATGTATTTAGCAGTGTTAATGTCTTTGAAACTTTGATTCCGTAGAGTTGCCGTAGAGAAATACTAGATTAAAAGGCATTTATTTGTTTTATTTTGTTCTCTTAATTATTATTTTTTCTTTTTTTTGCCCACAAATAAATTGCCTTTTTTTCTTCCCAGTGGCACCTGTTGAATTTTAATTACAAGAGATCGAGCAAGGTCAACTGCAACAACAACTCAGCACATTATGCTAAAATAGATACTTCCCAGCTGAACTGTCTTTTATCAAAACGACTTTGTTGCAGCCACTGTTTTCTCATTTGCTAATCTTTAGAGGTGACCGGGAGTTGCCGGGAAATGAAAATTGCTCATTGTTTAGGGAGAGTGGAATGAACAAATGGCTTGAAAAAAATGTAAATAATAGCTATGTTACAAACACATTCATTATTCACATAATTACACTCCTTATTAATCCTCCAACAATAGCACTCCCTATTAAGTCTTTATCTATCTCTTTGTCTTGCTTGCTAGCTTGTTTGTTTATTTTTTTTTAAGAAAGAAAAAAACCCTACATGCAATGCAAATCTAACTGAGATTTGTCACTTCATCAACATATAGTTGTTTTTCTGGTGATTTGAAGTCGGTATAATCAGCGTTGGAAAGAGTACTGGAAAATCAAACTCAAGTAAAAGTACAATTACTTGCCTAAAAATGTAGTGCAGTAGAGTTAAAGTATCTTTTGTAAGTATTACTCAAAGTATGAGTAAAAATAGCCATTTTAGAAGTGCTTAAGAGTAGTTGTTACGGTTGCAGGTTTGTGCGCTCTTCCGGAGTGTCTGTTTGATCATGTGAGTTTGTTTTGTTTTTGTTCTCCACGTGTATTTGTTGTAATCACGTGTTATGACGGCACTCAGCTAGCTTGATTAGTCGCCAGCTGAGGCTCATATTCGTGCCTATATATGGGTGACATTTTCTGTGTGTCCTTGTCGATTCGTTACGTGTGCTTATGTGTGCTATCTGTCTGTGCTCAGGACCGTGAGGAGTTTCTACAGGATCCTGTTTTCCTGCCTGATACCTGCCCTGTTCTCCTAGCCCTAGCTCCGCACTCATTCCTTGCATTTGTTTTGACTGTGTCAAATAAATACTTTTTGTTCACTCGTACTTGGATCCTTCAGAACATTTATTTGAGTGTGACAAGTAGTGGGATACTGTTTGGCCTTCTGTTATGAGATTCTTGCAGTGGAGGCTTAAGACCAAGGAGTTTTCCCCATGGGGTAACCCATGTTGCATCATCAGGGTAATGTGCTGGTGTCCACATGACATGTGTTGAAGAAGAAGAATTGGTTCTTGTCCCAAGGACCCATGCTGTAGGTTTTTTGTTATCCCACTACACTTACAGCACATGCTTCCACCATAGTTCCACCATTTATAGAGGAGCAATTCAAGAAGGATGTTTGACTCAAGGTCTCTTGAAGAATTATATTTAGTCTTGGCCTAGAAATTTCCTGTAGATGATAGCATTCAGAGAGTACCAAACATTATTGTTCAACATCTATCATGTTTTAGGCAACTGAGACAATGCATCTCACATAAATTTGCAGCGGTGTTTGTGACTGCATCCTATTAGTAGATCCTGTTGGCAGTTTGGGATACTGTTGGGGCTTTTGTTCTGAGATTTATTCAGTGGACGCTCAAGACCAAGGAGTTCTCCCCATGTTGCAACCAATAGTGCATTATCAGGGTAATGTGCTAGTGTCCACATGACTTGTGTTGTAGAAGAAGAATTGGTTCTTGTCCCAAGGACCCATGCTATAGGTTTTTTGTTATCCCACTACACTTACAGCACATGCTTCCACCATATAGTGGAGCAATTCAAGAAGGATGCTTGACTCAAGGTCTCTTGAAGAATTATATTTTGTCTTGGCCTATACATTTCCTTTAGATGATACCACTTAGGCAGTACCAAACATTATTGTTTCAACATCTATCATGTTTTAGGCAACTGAAACAATGCATCTCACATAAATCTGCAGGGGTGTTTGTGACTGCATCCTATTTGTAGATCCTGTTTGCAGTTTGGGATACTGTTGGGGCTTTTGTTCTGAGATTTATTCAAAGGACACTCAAGACCAAGGAGTTTTCCCCATGTTGTAATCCATACTGCATTATCAGGGTAATGTGCTGGTGTTCTCATGACTTATGTTGTAGAAGAAGAATTGGTTCTTGTCCCAAGGACCTATGCTGTAGGTTCTTTGTTATTCCAGAACACTTACAGCACATGCTTCCCTCATGTTGTGGAGCAATTCAAGAAGGATGTTTGACTCAAGGTCTCTTGAAGAATTATAATTTGTCTTGGCCCATAAATTGCCTGTAGGTTATAACACTTAGGCGGTACCAAACATTATTGTTTCAACATCTATATTGTTTTAGGCAACTGAGACAATGCATCTCAAATAAATTTGCAGGGGTGTTTGTGATTGCATCCTATCTGTAGATCCTATTGGCAGATTAGGATACTGTTTGGACTGCTGTTATGAGATTCATTCAGTGGAGGCTCAAGACCAAGGAGTTTTCCCTATGGTGTAACTATATTGCATCATCAGGGTAATGTGATGGTGTCCACGTGCCTTGGGTTGTAGAAGAAGAATTGGTTCTTGTCCCAAGGACCCATGCTGTAGGCTCTTTGTTATTCCAGAACACTTACAGCACATGCTTCCCTCATGTTGTAGAGCAGTTGAAGAAGGATGCTTGACTCAAGGTCTCTTGAAGAATTATCATCTGTCTTGGCCCATAAATTGCCTGTGGATGATAGAACTGAGGCAGTACTAGAGCTGCACAATTAATCGTTAAAAGATTGCGATCTCGATTCGACCCCCTAGACGATCTTAATCCAGCATTTCTACGATTCTGTCAATCATATTTTCAAGTTCAGGAGAGAAGATAAAGCAGCTGCATAAGTCTTTTCATTGTTTTACATACGTTGCTCAGTGACATTGACACCTCCAAATGATGTTGAATGAGTCACATAATTTATTTATAAGGTATAATTCACCTAAAACTGTCATTTTTGTATGATGTTTTCGCGGCCGGGAAATCACACATGACGTGAGCTGCTGACCGTGAGCTGTTATTACAGAGAGGGCGCGCACGCGCTCTACTTAATGATAGACGCGCGCGTCTACTTTAGTGAACAGAAGCTGCATATGTTACGAGTAACAGGTAATGCAGTTGTAAATAATATTCTGTTTGTGGCACAGAGTGATCGTTTGGGAGCCGCGCGTGAAGTATGAACAAGCACTTAGAAGTCAAAATGAAACCCAAAGTGTGCACTTTATTTAAATGATCATATCGCATTTTAGAGTTATGATTACGGCAAGCATTTGATATGTTTTTTCTTTCATAGCGAACCCACAGTTGTGCATGAAAATAAATGTTTACAATGTCAGTATAACTACTCTAGCCTATATGTTAAATATAATCTGATAATGGCAAATGTTTGATTTTACCAGTGAATAAATTTGTCTAATATGACAGATTGCAAGCATATATCTCAAACATATTAATTCAACATCATAATTATTATAAGTAGAATAGAATTATTTATAAAAACCAGTAGACCTACACATACTATTATTATCGATGTTGTGCCATACTGTATGTTTGTATTTACCATACCTTTATTTTGCATATACAGAATCGTGATCTTTATTTTAAGCAAAAAAATCGCGATTCTTATTTTAGCCAGAATCGTGCAGCTCTAGGCAGTGCCAATCACTATGGTTGTAACAACTATTATGTTTTAGGTAATTGAGACAATGGATCTCACATAAATCTACAGGAGTATTTGTGATTGCATCCTATTTGTTGATCCTGTTGGCAGTTTGAAATACTGTTTGGCTTTCTGCTGTTTTAAATAAAAAATTACTTTTATTCAAACCCAACTACAATAAATAGGACTTTCTACAAAAAAAAAAAAAAAAAAAAAAAATATATATATATATATATATATATATACAGTGCTCAGCATAAATAAGTAACCTCCTCACAAATCTCTTTTTTAAATCCATGTTTTAATAGGAAACTATTTGTGCATATACATTAGTCAGTACTGAAGCCAAATCTGAAGCTTATCTAACAAAATAACATACAATAACAGTCCAAAAACCAGTACACCCAAATGTATATGTTATAGAAAATTATTAAATACAAATTTAAAAAAGAGGAAAAATCAAGAAAAGCAAAACAATTGAAACGTTTAGTTGAAATTTTGTAGATTGTAATTTTATTTATTAATTTAATAGTTTTTTTTGCAATATTTTGCTTGAATTTAACTGTATTATCTTTCAATTTCTAAATATATTTGATGACTAAAATATTATTTTAATAAATATATTTGACTAATAAATCTGCTTCGTTTAAATGCACCAAAATTACATTGCCTATATTCACTGAGAAATGGATAAAATGGGATGTACTCAATTATGCTGAGCACTGTATATATTGCAAATACTGTGAAAACGTCCTTGGAATGTTAAATATCTCTAAACATCTCTAATCATTTTGATTCAACTGTATATGATAAAATAATAAAATATCCATGTCATTAATATCCATTTGGTACCATACAAGTGTGGTCATTTTCCCCCAATGTTTAAATGAATTCCACATCTTTGCTATTCTATCAGCTCTGCCATCCTATTACATTTTGGAAGCAGGTGACGCTGCTTTAAAGAGCACTTTCAAGTGATAGATTGCATGTCAGTCTTACTTGCAGTATGTGTCATTGATCATGCCGTAGACTCGAATCTCCTTGCACATGTCCATTGCCAGAATAAGCGTGAACCAACCAGTGCTCAGGTACGACCCCGACTGAATCCTGCCAACATAAAATGAGGTTTTCTTAATTCCATTAGAAGTGTTACATGAAAACATGCATCTGAAATATCTATATTCAAATAATCCATAACCTGTGATAACTCTTAGATTAAAATAAAGCACCAGTGTCAAAAGAAAATACACCAAGTGAACTCTACCGATGAAAATGGGTAGTTAGAAAGACCAGGACTAACATAACAGAAAACATCATCCTTTACAAGATAGAAACGAACTCTTTTTGTGAAATCAGTTATTCAAATCAGAGATTAGTTTAAAGTGAATAAAGTCCTGTCATATTTTAAGTGTGCATGTGCTCCCCTGCCTTGTATAAAAGCACTTCCACAGCCTCATTACCTCCATCACACAGTCCTGATATTATAGGCTCTGCAACTTGAGCCTGTAAAACTCTCCCCTGCAGGTCTTAGGTAAGTGGTCAATCATCAAAACATATCATCGCATTTAGAGCTGGTGGCACCTGTGGAAAAAATCATTTCAGAGGTCCTTTGTAAAGAACACTGGTTTTATCAAAAAGAGCAGACCTGCTTTTAAAATACAGGTTTAATTTCGTAGTATCTACTAGGTTCACCACTAAATTGCCATTAAAATAGTTTCTGAAATATTGCTCAGCTGAACACAACACCTCTTAAAATGGCAGTTTCTAGGAGCTGATTGTTGTATAATGCTTATGCTTAAAACAAGATAAGGAATCAGTCTGCTGTTTTTTTGTAAAAATAAGCAAATTTTACAACTTCCCTAGAGTTAAAAGTTGAGTTTTAGCAATTTTTGTTTTAAATCTGAGCCTGGCGGGAACATGTTTAGCTTAGCTTAGCATAGATCATTGAATCGGATTACACTATTAACATTTCACTCAAAGAGTTTCAATAATTTTCCTATAATTTTTCCTTAGTTACATTGTTTACTAAGACTGGCAAATAAAAAAAAATCCTATTTTCTAGGCCAATATGGCTAGGAACTATACTTTCATTGATTTTCTTTTCGGCTTAGTCTCTATAACAGCCTTCCATTGCTGTTATCGCCAGAAATGGGGGTGAGCACGTTTTTCACGCGTGCAATCAGAGTCCATGCATGCTAAAGTTGCTTTTAAGCAGAATGTCTTTATTTGTGCAGGTGAATTTAAAAAAGCCGCAATCTTTGCTTCTCTTTTCTTCTTTATCATGTCAATATAACATTCACTCCATGTATACACAGCACATATCTAAACACTGCTGTTTTCTGGCTAGCAAACAAGTTACTCTGTAGCACGGTCAAAAACCGTGTGCTTTCCCATACCTGACGCTCTTCCTCGCTTACACAGGCACCTCAGTTATAGTTTTCAGTTAGTGACACCTAGTGGACAACATAAATCACTACAGTCTCTTTATTAATCCGGGGTCACCACAGAGAAATGAACCACCAACTTATCCAGCATAGGTTTTACACAGTGGATGCCCTTTCATCCGCAACCCAACACTGGGAAACACCCACACATATACACACATATATATATATATATGTTTATGTGGGTTTCTTCGGGTGCTCTGGTTTCCCTCACTATTAAAAGACATGCACTGTGTGTGTATATATATATATATATATATATATATATATATATATATATATATATATATATATATATATATGTATGTATGTATGTATGTATATATATATATATATATATATATATATGTGTGTGTGTAAACCAGAAACCAGAGCACCCGAGGAAACCCACATAAACACGGCTAGAACAAGCAAACTCCACGCAAAAATGCCAACTAACCAAGCCAGGGCAAGAACCAGTGACCTTCTTGGCTGCAGCAGGCACAATGATATTACACAGTGCCTAAAAAAAGTTCCCAGTTAGGTAACTTAGTTGGATATATAGACTGAAGTTTTCAGGTGCTGCAAATATAATTTCCGCCTGCTTTAGCCATTGTACACATGGCCTAGAAATGCAACTTTTAATTTTCCCTCTACAACAGAGCTATACACTAAAGAAGAGCCCAGGTTTAAATAGGAAAAATAATGGCACTTTATTTTTGAGCGAGATATGCACACCGGATGCGCTGCTCGGCGACTCGCCGCATCGCGCCTCACAGCGCCATGTATTTCAGAATTCTAACGACGACGGCTGTCCACGGCGCCCAGCTACAACTCAGGACACTGTTCATATTTCTGCCACTCCACAGAGTGCCATATTTATAGTTTTATTTTAAATAGCATGTAAATGTGCGCATCTGGTGTGAGATACTTCCAACTGTGATGTGCGTGCCATGTCACGGCGCTAATAGGCGTATCGGGTGTGCGACCCCCTTAAGGGTGCTTTCACACCTGTAAATCGATTGTTTTTGTTTCGAAACAGGGACTAAAATTGTTACAATGTTTATTTTTGTTCTTGGTTTGGTTCGCTTTCACACAGCAAAGTTTCTATATGGATCAAGTCACAGTTTCAGATTTAATTTTTCCCATGGATTCCGCTCAGCTGTCATACATCGTTATTTTAATTAGATATTTTTAATATTTTAATTGATAACAAGAAGTGGGACATTATAAGAGAAAAGGTGCGCTACAATTTTGACACCCACAGATTCATTCATTAATTTTCTTTTCGGCTCAGTCCCTTTATTAATCTGGGGTCGCCACAGCGGAATGAACCGATAACTTATGCAGCATGTTTTTTGCACAGCAGATGCCCTTCCAGCCGCAACCCATCTCTGGGAAACACCGACAGATATAGTCACCAAATATAAATCAGAGAGGTAAGGCATTCTCATAAATCGCCTCATTTCAGTTGTTAAGGGTTGTAAAATTAATAATTAAAAAAAAAAAACGTTGGCTAGAATGATGCTTTATAAGTTGAAATTATAGAGAAGTATCAGATGAACTGAGACTGCAGTCAGATCATGAAGCAGATCAATGTTGATCTTTCTTTCGAGGTGTCAGTGCAGAAATGAACAAAACAATAGGTCTAATACAAAATATTATAAGATTAAAATAGGGAAAAAATATCAGATGGTAATTTCGGTCAATTTTCTTAACGGATAGACATCACTCAGTAGCCTAATATTTCAGCATGCTTTCACTTTTGTATTCAACATGAAACGCATATTTTTCAGTGGGAATGACATCCTGCCCTACTCATAATTCTCATTCATATAGCAATATATGCCTATTACGTATCCATAATACACTGTGATGTAGCCTGGGGTCTGTTTTTCATACATGGATTACTCAATTAGCTGGATTTGGGTATTGACGATTTGACATGATCCAGGCTCTTTTCATTTCTCAAAACTCATCTGAGACTTGTTGTCATTGCAACAGTTCTGGTAACTCAAACCTGCTTTGGAGCAGGCTCATTTCATATAAACAGGATTGGATCAGGTCAATTCAAGCCAAGGTGATACTGAAAGTATGTACCAAATGTTAATATTTTCTTACATTAGTTACATACACTTGGAAAAATAGTAAATATATATTTTTTAACTATATATATATATATATATATATATATATATATATATATATATATATATATATATATATATATATATATATATATATATATATGCAATCTGCACTCCGAAATAAAAGTACAAAGACTGCCACCTGGTGGTTCAAAGGGAAAATGTCTGACAGATTGTTTTGGGGTGGATTCACATAGGCCAAACAAACTGCGCTATCTAGGCAAACAAGACAGGCTCCAAAACAAGTGTATAGTAGGGATGGGAAGATTAACCGATATGTATCGATACGCGGTCATGCGCGTGCACGATGCGAGTGCATCGGTAGAGCAGCAGAGGATGAATGAAATTTTGGAAGCAAATCGAGATGCATCGGTTTTTGCGAGATGCATCGGTTTTTCCAAGATACAGCTTATATTTTTAATATAGAATGTATTTTTTATTTATTAGCAAGTGTTGTCAACCTGTTTTGGCGCATTATTTAATCGACCTACATAAAGTATGCCTAAGCAACGGACTTGCGGATGTGTACACTTACACTACAACTCAGTGTATCAGGTGTGCGAATGAAGCTAGTGGAGCGCCCTCAGAAAGCGCGAGAAGCAAAACAAACATTTTATTCCCCACTGAGTTTTAAATCTAAGTATGGCAACATTATAAATTTTGCAAAAAAGATGGACGACTTTTTAGGACAGATGCAATTTGCAAAATGTGCCGCGCATCTGTAAAATACACGGGCAGTACGACTAATCTGATATCTCACTTGAAGCGGCGCCACGGTGTTGTTGTGGAAGCATCTTCCAGTGCTCCTGCATCCCCGGCTTCCTGCTCTGCTTCAACTGTAGCTACCAGCTCCAAAAGTGGTGAGAAAAGCATTGCAAGTTTTTTCCATGCGCAACAGTTTTGTGCGCTCTACGCCACTAACGGATGCTATTGCATTGTTCATCTACAAAGATTTTCAGCCTAGTGTCACGGAGAACGAAGATTTTAAACACCTCCTCCTGTTAATTTGTATTTATTTATATTTTTATTAGCCTGTTGTTTACAGTGATAGTGATGTTTCAAAGCAGCATAACACTGCTAGTTCACCACCTTAAGTTTTGAATATTCAGTGGCACAATATATCTTTGTAAAACTTGTTTTCATAGTTGAAAGGTTAAATCACAATTCTTGGTGTGCAATGGTAAACCTTTATTTTGAAAGAGTGCAAATATATATATTTTTAATATATATTGCACTTATACATTCAGTTTATCTTGAAAATACTTAAATAATATGTGCTATATGTTCTAAAATGGCCCTCTACTGTAAACTGACACTCTGGCTCTGAGAGAAAAGCCAGTTTGTAAAAAAAGTCTTGGTTTTGCTTGGTTAATAAATAATCAAACTCATTCAATGGCACAGCATCCTTTCTTACATCATCTCATAAACTTGATCTAATAAGTTAGTGCTGAATTATCGCATTGTGTCGTGATATGGGTGTGAATCGTATCGTGTTGCATCGAAATATGTCACAAATGTATCGCTAATATATCGGATC